GCAGCAGGACCATCCCTTATTGCAGGGAGTACCACTTGGCTACCTAATTCTGTCACGTTTTCCAAATTAGAGAAAGGAAAAGACTTAGAAGTGCTGCAAGTAGTATTCCAAGTTTCATAGTCCCACTCTATGTAACGTAGCCTGTAGTACTATAAACACTTTTTCTTATATGATAGAGTTAATTGCTTATCATTTTTAAGGTAAAACCATAGCCACAACTGTTACTGTAATCTTAACAGTTCAATCAGAGTACAAGATATGGAAACTACCAGACAGATTGATTGCCAAATGAAAATGGAAATGCCTAGAGCTCTTCTATCGCTACATTTTCATCACTTGTAAACTCCCACCTGTCTCTGCTTCGCTATGGAGATATCACAAGAGCAACATTCCCCATAGTTTTCTTGAAGACATTGCGCCATTTACATTAGCTTTCTTTGCCAGGTGAACAGTGACGTCCCATTGTCTAAATATTTGTGTTGTTCAGTGTGATTCTTTTACAGCATAACCAGCACTACGCCTCCCTGCCACTTTTTATCTGCGTAGGTAAACATAAGTGGTGTATTGTATAGTTTGCCTAAACATCTGTAGTACAGTTATTTGCACATGGCAAATAACTGCGTGAAAGATAGTTATCAAAACCAAGAATAAGAGAGAAAGCTGCACAAGCAAATGAATTATTAGAATTTGATCTATTTGATGTAGGAAAATAACAGAGCCATCTTTCAATTATTATTTCACAGAAGTTCTTGTGTAAAAAAAGTCAGTTGTTACACGCAGTTTAGCTGCCTTTCCAACCACACCACAGCACATCAAAACCACTGAACTTGCTGTTTACAGAGACGACTATGTGAAAGCCAGGATTTATAAATACACTAGGATTGCTGAACCCTGGTATTAATCCAGAAGCTTCCCTAGACCAACATCTTCAAATGATGCAGACTTCACAGAATTTCTGCTAGGCTGAAATTAAATTACTTGAAATGGACAGACTGCTTGAAATAACACCTTTTTTTTTTTCTTTAATTACTTCCTGCCTCACAAAGAACTAAACTTACAGCTAAATCTTAGCCTTAAGATGAGCTCATTAGGCACAAACCTCTCTTTCCTAGATTAACTAGAGAGAAGAGCAGCAGACTTTTTTCTTGTTTATTTACTTTTAGGATAAAAAATAATTTTCAGTCTTGAACTCCTCCTTAGCTTCTGAAAAGTGGAAAAAAAAGCAGTGATAAGATCTGTGTGCTTTATGGAGTTGGAGGTTTATAGTTAGTTTTAGTTAGGTGTAGCTGATGACAATAATATATTTGCGATTCTGCCTTCAAAATGGGTCTTCTGATGCACTAGAATGTCATTTTGGTATTTTTCAACAAATACCACACTGATGTTGTGTATACATTTATCAGTAAGGTTTTTTGTGCTTAGGTCTAATGTTTAGCAAGCATGACTAAAATGCATTGTTAAAGTTCAGAAGAGGTGCTGGAATGAACAAAACTTTTTAAAGGTTATTACATTATCAACTTTATGAGTCTCCCTCTACAGTACCAGCTTCTAAAGAGAAAGTATGCTAATTTAAGAAAGCCTCAGAACTACTGAAGAGAAGACAGCTGACCTGTAGCAGGCAAATTTATTTCATCTATAATACATAAAAGATCAGAATTCCCTATTGCAGAAACTATGCTTAGTATGCAACTGGGAATAGAATACTAGCTGATTAATGTGTGGTTAAAAGACAACTTAAACTTCCTAGAGTAGTTTAATTAGAATTTAAAGTTATTAGGCTGCAATGAAAAGCATAGTTATTATCCTGAATTTAGATGATGTTTAGAAAGACAGACGTGAAATTCAGACAATTTCTCTCATAGCAAAACCTTGAGATTCTGAAGCATAATTTATGTTTTACTCATTAGGTCACCATATCTTTGGTCAGAAAACCTGTTGCTACAATTGAGCAAATTGTCAAACACAAAGATTAGCCTGAGACATGCTCAGTGAAATGGAAAAGTGGATATATAGTGGCTAATACAATAGATTTGGCAAAGATACTTCAGATATCAAGATAATAGCTTTTAACATTTTCTTTGTCTCGCAAACTCTGGATTTAATCAATAACAACATAACTTAATATTATAATAGTTATTGAAAACAACTTGGAAAATGCCCTTTTATTTAAGAATAATACTTAACCATCAGAGATTAGGGCATACATTATGGGGTAAACACATGCAGTTTTGCAGCAAAGCGTGAGGAAAAAACCCATACTAGCTAGCAATAAGAATCAGTATACCAGAGAAAATATAGGCTTGGGGTATTTTGCTGTCCTCAGCAAGCTATAAACTTGTAAAAGTTGTTAAATTTATTTTAACAAGTGTATCTTTGTAAGATTTCCTCACTTTAATAATTTTTGTAGAAGGAACTGCTTGTTGAACTTAACTACAGGTGCAAGGAACAAAATGCTAGCAACAGATCCAGGTTTACAGTAGGTGCTAGAGGAAAATAACACTGTGGTTACAAATCCGTAGGGGAATTTTTTGCCAGTTTCTAATTTGTTGCAAGAATTTATTGCTAACTTATTTTCTGTATTAATACCAAAATACAGTGGCACTTCAAATCCACTAGAGCAATTTATTAAAACTTGCGCTTTTAAACTGGGACATTTGTCAAATGTAACAGATTGAATAACTGACATTTCCCAATTTTAACCTCTAAAATACAGAAATGCAAACAAGTTTACTTCAGCATAATTCTATCCAAACTTTGAAAATGGTCTCAGACATTGTCCAAATGTAAACTTTTTTCAGTGTCAAGGAAGTTTGTATTTGCTGGGATGTTTGTTTTCCCAATGACAATTTTCTTGAGAAAAGCTTAAACTTTGGTCAGCATTTTTGTATGAGCTCTAAGTCACCCGTGACTGGAGTTCAGAAAAAGAAGCTACTTACGATTGATGTTTTCAACATGAATCTTAAGCAGCAGAGACCTCTTAACATGACTCTCCTGAGTTTTAATGTATCAAGATGGTGATATATTACACATGTGATACATATGTAAAATACATGTATATATATACACTACACATATACACACACATTATGTATATATAAATATATATAGTGCACCTACTAGGACCAAAAAATCTCTTGCAGCTCTTACTGTCAGTTAAGGTACAAGCACAGTCATCAGGATTCACCAAGAACTGGATATGCCAAACATTAAAATAAAGTGTGACAAAATAGGTGTGCTTTTACTGTTCTCATTTCTAATAGTGAAAAAAATCAGTAGTTTACTATTTTAAGATATTCCTAATTATAAACACATTTCCATTTGCAGTCAAAAATGCAGTAGCTGTTTTTTGGAAAAGGTCAGGGAAAATACTTGAGGCCAAATAAATTACTATAATGTTTTTGTGGAACTGAATTATAAAACTAGTAGTCCTTTTTACAACCTTAAAAAAAACTTTAAAAAGATCTTTTGCCTTTGTAGAAGAGCATATTGGCAATGTGTATAAAGCAAATATAGTAAGTCCATCTGGAGCTCAAGCTGTACAAAAGTCAATATGTGCTAGTAATTCTCTATGCTGGCTTGTTGGATACTGCACTTTACATCTGGGACACTCGAGAAAACTTTCATCAAGAAGGCTTGAATGTTTCAGGGAAGGACTTCTATTATATGTGGTCCGCTTCTCTTCAAATGCAGATTGCAAATCTTCTTGTGATTCCATACATCCAGATTCCTGGAGTTTCTGGAAAAGGAGAAGCTTTGGTGTAAGACTGGAGCATGCATGCATGCACTGATCAAATACCAAGGGAGAAAAAAATTAAGGTTTGATGGCACACAAGCCTTGTGTGTGTTATAGCACTAAGGGTAGAACTTTAAAGATGGCTAAAACATGAATGAAGAACATCAATATCTCAGAATTCATTCTGTTCTCTTCCTCATTTGAGAAAATACTTCCAAGTTGCCTACAACTAAGAGGGAGAGCAGTCTGGCAAAGTCACAGAAGAATTCCTCTCACCTGCAACTTGTTAGGAGCTTTTGCATTTATCTTTTCTGTAAAAAGCACAGCAGCCCCTGACCTGATCTAATGAAGGACACAGGTATCCGATTTCCATTCTGAACCTCCTTTAAATAAGTCCAGAAATGCAGTTTGACAATGCTATTCAGCTATCGTCTGATCTTACAGGATACCTTATTGTAGAGTTCCAGAAGCACCAACAGTCAAACTGCATTTCTACTCAAGACCAGGGTAGTACTGGATATGACAGAGCAAACCAGGTCAATGGTTTGCTTAATACTTAATCCTTCCATACAAATGTCTCCATCAAGTCTAGGTCTCAAATCTAGGTGGCTTTCTCTGGGCTTATACAATAAGCAGCAAACAGACCACGGCCCTCACAATACAACAAACGTCCTTTTTCATTGTGTTAGGGAGCTTGTCTTTTTGGAAATGAAAAACCCAGGTTTTAATGACCCACCCATCCTGTATCAGATAGAGACGGGAGGAATTCAACTTCTCTATCTAAGGATTGAGTCCTGTTCACTAGCAGAAAGTCTGAGTAGAACCATACTGCAGCTTTATCAGTGTGCAGCAGACAAAACTAGATACACATTGTGACACAAAATACAGTTACGTTCCCTGCTCAGGAACCTGACTATTCTGGATCTCCTTCTGCAGTACTCGTTCTCCTCTCATACTGTAGAGGAAAGTGATGCCTAGCTAGTTGACATAGAGTTCTGCACCTTGAGGCCACATACCTAAAGGATGTAAGGGCCTACAGTGAGTATCTGACAACATTAACAGAAGTCTCACTACACTTGAAATAAGGTCCCAAGGTGAAAAGATGTACATTATGCAAAATCCCTGACTAAATTCACCTGCAAGTTATTCAGTACATACCAGAGGTTCCAGACGGGTTATTTGCTCGCTGGCCTTGTGCAGTTCCTTAAGGACTTTGTTTAACTGATGCTGCAAATTCTGGCGATCGAGCTTTTCATTCTCAAAGTCTGTGATGCATATCAGGATCTGGCAACCCCCCAAAGTGAAAATTAAATAATTTAACTCAGAATTATTAATAATTGAGGGGAAGAAAGAGAAATATTTCCCCTTTATATAGAATCATAGAATGATTTGGGTTGGAAGAGACTTTAAAAATCATCTAGTTCCAACCCCCCTGCCATGGGCAGGGACATCTTCCACTAGACCGGGTTGTCAAAGCCCCATCCAACCTAGCCTTGAACACTATGTATTTAAAGTAACTTTTACTCTATCGTATCCTAAAATGAGATTTAAAAAAAAAAATAAAATCACTCGTTGCTTTCACTACAGTGAAATTCATACATGCTCAATTATGAAAATCTTCTCCCTTAGTAGAGGTGGAATTTGAAGTTATTTTGGTTGAAGGGTATTTTAAACTGAACATTTTATAGAAAAGCATATAGTGTTAAGTTCTTATTAAAAACACCAGTTTCTACTCCAGGATCTTTCTTGTAGCAAGACAATTTGGATAGAAACTATGGGAAACACTGTACACTCAAGCTTAGCAAATAAATGTAACTTTTTTTTCCAATAATATTAATGAGATCTGTAAGAATGTACTTTGAAAAAATAAAGAAAATGGTAATGACAGTAATGCAATTATTTGTATAACTTTATCAAGAGTATATTACAAAACATCTATGAGCTGATTGGTTTCAGGATGTTTCCCATACCTAATCTGAGGCTGTACACTTGGAACAAGTGATTGTGGAGAAAATAGCATTAGGTTTGATCACACCCTCTTATCTGTAAAAGGTTGCAGATTTTCCTCGACAGACAAGTCAAAATTTTTAGCAGCATCAAGAGATTATTCAGTTGAATATTCATGTCTATTATTAACTTATTTAATATACTACTCATTCTTAAAATTGAAAAGTTACTCTAGAAAGTCTTTATGCAAAATACAGATTAAGTATTGGCATCTCAGCATATAATTCAGTACCTGTTGTTCCAACAAAGCTATCCTAGTGTGTTCCTCCTTCTGTTTCAGCAACAATTTACGAAGATGTTGCACCTATGAGGCAGAAACACATTTGTAATAAAGAACTTCCATATACAAGAGTTAATAAGCTTAACAAATACTCAATCTAAAAGGGGATGGAAATAAACTTTTATATTCCAACACCAACAGAAAACATATGCCTGTTATGCAACAGCCAAACTCAATTCAAATATCTCTTATTCTCTGGGGAAAGCCCCAGGGGAACATTATCATTGCATTGAACAGGGGGAATGCAGGATGATATTATAGTTAAAAAAATCAAACCAAATTTTCCTAGGTGTTTGCTAGGATGGAGACAAAAAACCACACAAAACCTATCTTTGCACTTACATGCTATGATGTTAAAAAAACAAGCAATGCAATTTTTTTTTTTAGTAGAAGAGAACAAGTTTAAGACTCAGAAAGTACTATACTATAATGGATTAAGTAAACATTTAAAAAAATTAAAACATCCTCTGTTATCAGCATGTATCAACTTTTACAGTGAATGCTATTGTTCAGCTGAAAAAAAAAAAAGACACACCACCTTTTAATCATTATTAACCAGTGAGAACAAGCTGAAGCACTATCCAGGGACACAGCTGCTTATCCAGTAAGCATGAAACTACAAGCCCATATGTGTATTTGCAGCAGCCAGGTGACAGCAAATATGTTTAATATTCCATAGTTGAGACTGCACAATGATATAGTCTGTATGGATTTGAGTTTTTACTTTTCCTGTTCTTATTCACATTTAGCCTTGACAATCATCTCGATTAGAATCAATTAAGTATTCTCTCCCTTCTCCCTCTTGTGTCCCAGAAGACCAGGGAAATATGTGAACAAATAAGTGCCTTGTTTAAACAAGGATATTTCAGAAAAGTTTGGATTTTGATTCAAATCAATGTATTAAAGAATTCAGTTTTAACCACAAGGACGAGTCTAGATACACATAACCAACAGTTACCAGAGCAAGTGAGTGAGGGTCCATTCTGATTAAGTAAGACTCTTCAGCTCTCTTGATACTTCGCTAATGACCCTAAACCTCCAAATGCATCCACTTACCTGACATAAAAGATCTTCAGACTTTTTCTTTTCTTCCTTGAGCTGTCCTTTAATAGTTTCATTTTCTTGTTTTAGTCTCTGCACTTTCGCTCCTTTCATTTTATTTTCATTTTCTAGAGTCTTAATTTCAGCAACCTGTTGCGACTGCCGTAAGGCATTTAAATTCATTATTTCTCGTGTTTCTTCATACATCTTTTTGAATTCGTTAAGTTCACTCCTAGCAGTTAGTAACAGCTGGTCATATTTTTGTTTTTCCTCTTGTAGATGACCTTAATGAGTCAGAAATAATTTAGAAAGTAATGGTGTGTTTATGGGGGAAATCTTAGAACACCAAATCCTTGACAGCATTTTGAGGCTTATTGATAGAAATTGACATTTTCAGCTATTACACAGCTCAGATTGACACCAGACTTCAGTTAAAGCAGCTTTCAATACTTCTGATGCAGTGAAGTCCCCTTCCCAATATAGTTACTGGAAAACTGCAGCTTGGCTTGCGCATAGTGTTCTGTGCTACTGCCACTTCCTTCACTAAAGGCATATAGCAACGTTACATCCTTTGCCCTGGCTACACAAGCTCCATGACCCACACAAAGTTCTTATATGGTCTCATGCATTGTACTAACACATTGGAATCAAGGCTCAAAGACATTAGATTCCCACTTCCAGATTTAGGCTCTTTAGCCAAGATTCTGGCATTACTCCCTCCCCAGAGATACCTTGGGAATTTGATGGGCCCTACTTCACCATTGTTGACCAAAGCCAAACTATCCATTGTCTTTTGCAGACTATCTTCTTCAAATTGTATGCTATCATTTACTTCTAAATTGCAAATAAAAGGGAATAGGATAGGGTTTTTTTTTATAAAAACACCTGCTTCTTGGCCAGTGGGTGTTCTTTAAACAAGAGTTTGAAAAATTTCTGCTTGTTGACTCAAGAAAAGTTTAAGTAGGAAAAAAAAAGGAGGCAGTCTGTAAAAATTAAAAGTTCAATAGTAATATAGAATATACCTATAAGCAGAACAAGGGATGCAGAATTTCACAGGCTTTGCTAGTTTTTGGCACTGTAAATTCCTTGATTTCAATACTTTTCCTGTTGAAGGCTTCCCCTCGTTCTTCAAAGTGTAATTTACTTGGGAAAGTTTCTTGCTTGACTATTCTCCCTCCCTTTGACTATGAACTATGCCTTACCTTCTCATTAGCAATACTTCTTTATAGGGTGGCGAGATCTTCAGAGGGATACCAAGTTTTTCCTTTGAAAATGTTGTCATACCTACTTGCAACTCTTATAGCTAGGTTCTTAGGAACATGGATCTCTGCTACGGTCTAGCTGCTTAAAGAGGGGAACTTTATTACAGCCTTACTCCTAGTCTCCTGGCTGTTCTGACAACAAAGCTTTGACTGCAGTAACTGAGTTCTATTTCCTGGTGAGCTACTTCAGTCTGCCTCCCTCTAAAATACTGTTCATAGATTCCTAAACAGCACCAAAACACAATTATGGTATTTTACTATTTTCCATAAAGATTCGAGCAGTAATATAGAAACCAAGCCACTACACATTAATTACTAAGTGGTAATACTGTGGCATACTCTGTGGGCACTCTTACTCCAGATGATTCTAGTTCTATTTAGTGAATTTACCTTGCAGGTCAGTTGCAGCATATATGAAATTAGTAATTTAATAATAAGAAAAGCAAGCCAACTCCTTCTGGTTCTTCTGTTCAATGTGATTTTAACGTTATTCCACCTGCTGGTTAAGCACAACTCAAGTTGATCTGAACACATAACTGAGAGGGTGCTCATTATTGAGGAACTACATAGCACAGAAGTCAGCTAGAGGTGGCCAGATCCATATTGTGAAACACAGTTTTGTATAGGTGCCAAAACCTATCACGGGTTTTCATGTCCTGTAAGAACTGTTAAGGTAAGTGAAAAACGTGGCAGTCTTGAGTCATTTTTATAATATTTATTTTGAAAAAAAATTAAAAAACCTGAACCACACCTAACTAATAAATCCTTAATGCTTCCATTATGTACATTGAAAGTGTACTTTGAAGGATGGGAGACATGCATGTATTTGCCTCAACACTTTCCGCAAACAGAGAGGTTACTAATAGAGTGTCAAGGCTGTTAAAAAACATCTTTGAAGTAGATAAGAACATGAAATACTGTCAATCAAGTAATGTAGCTAGATAACAGGAAGCAAAGAAATTTTACTTAATCAAGTTTTACCATTAAGAAACCAAAATGTTGAGAAGAAAGTCTTGATTCCATTCATTAATTGTGCTATAGTTTGTTTTCAGAAAACTTCCATAGATAAATATGGTTTGGGTCACTTGTGAGGAAAAAATAAAGTTGATACCTTCTGAACGGAATTCTTTAGATTCTTGTTGGCTAACTATTCCTGACTTCTGTTCAAGTTCAAAGATCCTTCCAAGCAGGCCCCTGACATATGCTTCACGTTGCTGGTCATACAGTAGCCACTGTTGGTTTTTCTCAAGAGCCTTTATAAAAAGGAACAAAAGAACAACAAAGCAGCCTCTGGTAATTTATCAGATTTTTGAAGTATTAGTCATCTTAAAAATGTTAGAAGTTACACAGTTTAAAGATAAGCTAGTTAATTCTGCTGCAAATTGTAGTAATCTTCTTTGTACTATAAATAAAATCCATCTTCATTTGGAAGGATGTCAGGTTGTTGAGCACGTTAAAATTGCAGCATTATTAAACAGTAATTGTTTTTAAGTCATTTTCCCATTCCAAGAAATAAGCCAAAGGCTTTCATGCATCATGCCTGGATTATGAAGAATTAACTTTTCAATTTCAAATATAAGATAGAGTAAAAAGAACAGATCTTGAAAATGGAATAAACTAAAACTGTTATCATTGCAGTTTAAAGTTGGTAAGAATGAGGACATGGAATTTATACCTGATTGATCATAGAATTATTCAGGTTGGAAGGGACCTCAGGAGGTTTCTAATCCAACCTCTGGCTCTCCCAGACAGTCAGCTGTGAGGTCAGATCAGGTTAACTGGGGCTCCTGTTTTGTCAGCAACCACTTCGTTCTGATGTTCCAAGCAAGGTTTTTCAAAGATGATTGAAATATTATCTTTTTTTATTTAAAATGGTCTTGTCACAAAATAATTTTCAATATTATATTTTGGAGGGAAACATACCCTCTGAGGTCCCATACTACCTAAAAATGCATATGGTGATAATTTACATTCTTATGCATCTTGATACAAATGATTTACACTTGCAGTATTCTACATGAAACTTACATCTTTCAGTTGTTTTTCAACTTCATAAAGATGAGTTGGTGATCCAGTGCTGTTTGTTACAGCTTCCTACAGACAAAGAACAACCTGTTAGTGTTCTTTAAAGTAGATGGCTGAAACAGTAAAGCTAGTCCTGTATATCCAATAATTTCATATAAATAGCATAAGACTATTTTAAAATGGAAAACAGATGCATACATGTGCCTTTTGTGTTTAAAGATCTTTATAGGCTTTCTTTCTTTTTACAAAAAAGAAGATCTAAGTTACATAGAAAATAATTTCATGGATTTAAAATAAAATCTCCTGGAAAATACAGGAGACAGATTTACATTTAATTTATTCTGTAACTCTGCAACTCAAAGTTACATTAAAACATTTCCTAAGAAGAATATCATGTGTCTTCTGCTGAACTGCTGTCTTGGAAGACCTGAAAGGTGTAGGAGAGCTTCTGAAAAATGAAGATGTTTAGGGTGTTATTTAAATAAACAAAAAAGGTCTTTGTTCTATTTTCATATTCTTTTGTGTTTGACAATAAGCTAGACCTATAGAAGTTGTTGGGGAAAGCTAGAGACCTTGACAACTTCACTGGAGTAACAGTAGGATTATAAACATCTAGGAAACCACACAAGCCTGTCTGGAACCATAAGGACATACTGACTGGTTTTCTGAGACCTCATGTGCAGTAGAGTGCTTAAACTGTGAGTTGGAGAGTTCTTTAGACCCATCTAAAACTAAACAGCAGTTAAACAGTTATACTTCTTTCATAACCTGACATGTTTATTTAATGCATGATAGAAAGCTTTTGAAATTGTGTAGATATCATTTAGAGGGAACTTTAAGGAAGTAAAAGTGTAGATTGCTACCTAAATGCAAGCTACATTTTTGCAAAGTTTTCATGTGTTTTTTGGAACATGATTTAGAACAAGCGTTATAGCTGAAAAAATACAGAAGACTTTTCAATGTAATTATTAAACTTTAGCATTTCCTAATAAAAATAGGATTTAAAGACACTACAATTGCTCAGATTCCTATTTCTATAAACATTAGAATTCTGTCTCAGTGAAAACTTTCTCAAAATTGTCATACAACTCGTTTCTGTTTCGGAATATACCTGCTGCTCATATGCCACCTATCAGTTTCAAGCAGCATTGCTAGACTTGTTTTCAAGTTTTCCAAGACATCCACTCAAAGCATCAGTCAAATTTAGTTGTCCTCTGTTGATAAATCAGTAAAAAAATTAAAAGAAAATTTTTATTTTAAACTAAAAGATATTTTGGTAGTTCATTGACAAAAGTATCATGGAAATCTGTTGAATTAAAATACATTTTATATTCTGTAAGAAAGTTCAAAGTCTCTTGAAATTGAAAATAAACACATTGCATTTAAAGTGGTATTGCCCAAGCCACTGCATTATTAGAAGTGATACATATATGTGTCATCATTGAAAATTAGTAGATTAAGATACTTTGCTAAGTATTTGGCAAAAGCTCGATTTCTAGAAATTACTCAACTTCCCGGTGTAACATGGGAACCAGCACCATCTGCAGGTCAAAAGCTGGAAAAGACTTACAGGCACCTCTTCTAGGTATCAACTTCCCTGCGCTCCTTATTGAGGTGCTACTGCATTATCCATGGAACATTAGAACAGGCAGGGCTGGAAAAACAACTGTAGAAAACTAAATGCACTTGTAAAAGCTGCCAAGTGCCTCGCACCATACCTATTAACCATTTTAAATAAGAGAAGCAACTCATTATTCCTGTCCTATCTTCTGTCACAATGAAGTATTTACCATGTGTGATGTCATATAAAGTACAGGCAACTATTTTTAACAACTAAGGAGCAACCAAGGATTCATAAGAGCAAGGAGGAGAAAGATATTCTCATAGAATCGTAGAATAGTTTGGGTTGGAACAGACCTTTAAAGGTCATCTAGTCCAACTCACCCTGCAGTGAGCAGAGACATCTTCAACCAGATCAGGTTGCTCAGAGCCCGGTTGAGCCTGACCTTGAATGTTTCCAGGGATGGAGCATCTACCACCTCTCTCGGCAACCTTTTCATGTTTCACCACACTCATGGTAAAAAATTTCGTCCTTATATCTAGTCTAAATCTGCCCTTTTTCAGTTTAAAACCATTACCCCTTGTCACAATGCAACAGGCTCTACTACAAAGTTTGTCCCTATCTTTCTTATAAGCCCCCTGTTAAGTACTGAAAGGCCACAAAAACTTCTCCCCAGAGACAAGCCCAGCTCTCTCAGCCAGTCTTCATAGGGTGGTGTACCATCCCTGATAATTTTTGTGGCCCTCCTCTGGACCCTCTCCAACAGGTCCCTGTCTTTCCTGTGATGAGGACTCCAAACCTGAACACAGTATTCCAGGTGCAGCCTCACCAGAGTGGAGAAGAGGGGCAGAATCACCTCCCTTGACCTGCTGGCCACGCTTCTTTTGATGCAGCCCAGGATATAGCTGGCTTTCTGGGCTGCGAGCACACATTGCCAGGTCATGCCCAGCTTCTCATCCACCACTACCCTCAAGTTCTTGTTCACAGGGCTGCTCTCAATCCCTTCATCCCTCAGCTGATATTAATACTGAGGGTTGCCCCAACCCAGATACAGGACCTTGCTTTTGACCTTATTGAACCTCATGAGGTTCACACAGGCCCACTTCTCGAGCTTATCCAGGTCCCTCAGGCATGTCAACTGCACCACACAGCTTGGTGTCATCCGCAAACTTGCTGAGGGCACACTTGATCCCACTGTCCACATCACTGATGAAGATGTTAAACAGTGCTGGTCCCAATACAGACCCCTGGAGGGACACCACTTGTCACTGATCTCCATCTGGACATTGAACTGTTGACCACTACCCTCTGGATTTGACAATCCAATCAATTCCTCATCCACTGAACAAATCCTCTCCATCAAATTCACATCTCTCCAATTTAGACAGAAGGATGTTGTGGAGTACCATGTGAAAGGCCTTACAGAATTTCAGATAGATGACATCAGTAGCTCTTCCCTTGTCCACTGATGTAGTCACTCCATCATAGAAGGCCACTAGGTTGGTCAAGCAGAACTTACCCTTGGTGAAGCCATGCTGGCTGTCTTGATCGCTTCCCTATCCTCCATGTGCTTTAGCATAGCTTCTAGGAGGATCTGTTCCACGATCTTCCCAGGCACAGAGGCTGAGAGGTCAGTAGTTCCCAGGGTTCTCCTTTCTACCCTTTTTAAAAACAAGTGTGATGTTTCCCTTTTTCCAGTCACCAGGGACTTCACCTGACCGCCATTACTTTTAAAATATCATGGAGAGTAGCTTGGCAACTACATCAGCCAATTTCCTCAGGACTGTGGAATGCATCTCATCAGGTCTTAAGACTTATGTATATTCAGGTTCCTCAGGTGATCACAAACCTGATCTTCTCTTACAACAGGAGGGACTTTGCTCCTCCGGTCCCTGTCTAGTGGTCTATCCACTCAAGAGGTGTGGAAGAGAGACTGCCAGCAAAGACTGAGGCAAGAAAGTTGTTGAATACCTCAGCTTTCTCTTCGTCTGTTGTTACCAGTTTGCCAGTCTTGTTCATTAGGGAGAATACGATTTCTTTGATGTTCCTTTTCTGGCTGACGTATCTGTAGAAGCCCTTAATATTCTTTGCATCCCTTGCCAAGTTCAGCTCCAGCCACGACTTGGCCTTCCTGACCCCATCCCTACACAACCAGGCAACATCCCTATACTCTTCCCAGGATACCTGTCCCTGCTTCCACTGTCTGTGCACTTCCTTCTTGCCCTTTAGTTTGACCAGGTCTTGACTCAGCCATGGCAATCTCTTGCCTTCCTTTCTTGATTTCTTACAACTGGGGATCAAGAGCTCTTGTGCTCTATGGAAAGTGTTTTTAAAGATCTGCCAGCTCCATTCTGCTTCCTTGTCCCTGAGGGCAGTTTAGCAGGGGGTCCTATTGAATAACTCCTTGAACAGCTTTCCTAAAATTCAGTGTCCTGACTTTACTCTTCACCTGACCCATATCCCTCAGGACTGCGAACTCCACCAGTGCCTGATCACTGCAGCCCAGGCTGCCTCCAATCTCCATGTCACCGATTAGCTCATAACTGAAGCTGAATTTGGTGAGGAGTTTAGTTTGTCTTTATTAATGTCTAATGTCTCTTACTGCTGTCTTCTCAGTGTGTTTTAATCACTAAGCATAGAAACCTGAGAAGGGCATAATATCTGCTTAAGCAACAGTGGATCATTACATGTCATACCACTAGTCATACCACCTGCCTGCGAGCTTGAAAAAGGGATCTTGTAGTACAGCATTAAACAATTCCCTCCCAAGCTGCGTTCCCTGAAGTTGTGCTTCCTGATTGAATGCTAAATGAAGAACAATCTGGATATCATTTCTCTTCATACAAGAATATTTCAGCATCCTATTTTATATCAGATGCTATTTTATAACAGATGTCAGTGCTTAGCAGGCACAAATTCCAAGTCTAACCTGTTTCTTTAGTGCTTACCTGGGATGCCTGAGAAGTACCAGCTCCATTTTCAAGCTCAGAACATTTTCCAGTAGCAGCAGGTAAATGACATTTTAACCGGTTCATTTCTTCCGATAGAGAATGAAGTAGCTGTTCTCTCCTTTCTGCTTCCTTTGTTTTTTCCTCTAGTTGACTTCGTAGCAAGGAGACTTCACTATTCTGGGTTTTGGATCTAAGCTGGTCTTTCAGGTTTTGGATTTCTTTGTCCTTCTCTCCAAGAAGATGGTTATGTTTTGCTTTATCTTTTTCAAGGGAAAGTATTTTCTAAATGAAACAGAATTAAAAAGTGACACGAATAAGTGTCAGTCTATGCAACAAGTGTATTAGCAAGTTTACAACAAAGTGAGAAGATACTCACTTTGAAAGGTTCTCTCATAGCCTTTAATTAGAAGAGAATATTACTTTTTACTCAAAACAGACAATACTGCAGTGACCATCTGAAGTATTTCAAGTGGTAGTAAAAACAATCTGAAGGAGATGAAACACGGAAGGAATGCAAAGAGCCAAATTTCACAGACCTGGTAGGTATTCAGTTTTGTAAATGAATCCAGATCACTACAACAAATGAACCTTAAAACACAAGCAGTAGAAGAACTCTTGAACATTTCCAGTGAAGAGGTTGGTGATACATTGCTTAGTGTTGGTTTGCGTATTTAGTAGCTTTTGAGAAGCAGCAGAGCCTTCTTGCAAACTAAATGACAATAAGTTATAAAGAGTTATAATAAAGCTTTCAGGAGAAAAATCCTGTTTTCCAAATTATCTGGCCTTTTAGTTTCAAAATGTGCTTTAGTAGATATTTTCAAGAGGCACTCTCTTTTCAGTAGGCCTCCAGCACAGGTAATTATTACATAATATTATTACTGCCTTTGGGATACTTGTTATAATAGCATTTCATCTTCCATGAGGAAGGTTGATGTTGAAATCCTACATGTTGATATCAAGTCATTAGAAGATGACAGAGAAACTAAAAGAAACTGAATTTTAAAGAGGCTCATTTAGGGAGTGGTTGAAGACCACATAGTGCTCACTAGAATTAACATATTGACACAGTCAAACATGCCTGTGATTTTCCACCTGTAAACTAGGAGCCCAATATTAAGTAACCAACACAGAGCAAGCTGCAAGTCACCAGACACAGCAAACACGCTAACGAGTTTAGCAACAGCAGTACATGAGCTGTCTAGCCATAGCTGGTACTTCGGTTAGCACTTCTCAACTGACCTTGTAGTACAGGCACATGAAAAGCCTTATTGTCAAAAGAAGTAGGCTGGAAATGTTAGTGTGCCTAGTCTCCAGCAGTTGTATCCTTTCAAAGAGTCCATTTAAAGTTCCCCAGTCCTACTAGGAAGCCTAACAGTATGTGACCTGGTCACATACTAAGTCTTGAACTTCTTTCTCTGCAACCATAGGTTTACCTTGAATGGACTACAAGGCGTGGAAATTGCTATGTCTCATTTTCTGCTCTATGGTTGTACTGGAAGAACAATGGGGTGAACTGATTTCAATTTTATTTACCTGCAACTGAATGGAAGCTTGAGAATATAGTTCAAGCAAATACACAGCACTTTTGGCATGTTCTTAGGCAACAGTTTGCAAACACTATGTTCTTTGCAGGAAATGCTCAAAATAATTCTCTGGGACCAACTGTTCCGAACAGTTGGACGTGTGAGGACAGGTCTTAATGGGCTAATTGGAACCTCTGGACTCGAGTCTTTGTATTTAGCAGCCTTAAAGAGGAAAGATGAGCACTTTGCTTGTGAAGTCAGACGTGCTCAGACCCACGATAACCGTGCGCAGTTAGGACATCACGAACATTAGCTTGAGCACAAGCATCCACCTCACCTCTCGGAGCCCGTTCCTTTCCGGATCAGTCATTCCGCTCTTCTCTTTCACGACTTCCTCCATGGATTTTTTAAGGGCTGCGTTCCCCTGCTTGTACTTCCCGAGATCATTCTCGGATCTGGAGCTACCCGACTTTAAGCCCCACTTGCCAATAATTATATCTTTAGCAGTCTTGGAATTCATCTTTAAGCACCTA